AAGGGCATGAAATCCGGAATGTCATCTGCAAGGGACCATGTTATATCTTAGTGCCAAGACATCTAATGAACCAGGTTTTACTCCTAAATAGAGGCCCCTAGGGAAATAGCATAACTTTTTTTGTCTCTGCTGGAATTTGAGCGCGGATCTCTCATGGTTTCACTCGCTTACCATTAGGCTGCACCCTTGGGTGTTAAAAGGAAGACTTTGGAGCCCTGTTTTTATTTTCAAAGAAAAAATTAAAGCAAGAAAGAAAGAAAGCAGGATGTTGGAAGTACCATCTAGTGCCTAGTAGAGCGACGTAGGCATTTGAATCCGTGTTTGTGAGAGGTATAAGTGCTACAGATGCACGAGACAAGATTGGTGCTTTGTCAGGCTTTAGGGATGGTCTGCAGAGATTTTATCATCTGAAATTAAAATAGTCTAGCTGCTGCCTTCACACCAGATCAAATGAAGCAAGTAGCACGATAATGTCTGATGGGAGAGTTTAACTTCCATCATGATTGCCAAGAGGAACGAGCTGGAGAAAGCAAGGAAAAGAAGGGGGGGAGGAGGGGGGGGGGCAAGTTTAGTCAATATAAGTGAACTCCTGAACTGGACAATGATGAATGATGAAAACAAAATGGTAACTGATAGTATTAGGTAGAAAATGGTAAATGTGATTGCACTTCTAATGCTCGTGTTGGTAACAAAGTGTCCTATTATCTCGGTCTTTTATTGGTGCCGGGATTAGATTTCATTCATCTGTATTCTTTATTTCTTTTGAAAAGGTAAATAACATGTATATAGAAATAATAGAAAGCTTAGCGCCAACCTGGTGCTTGGACAGTCTTAATCTTCTCGATCCGGACAATTGGCTGGACTAGACTTCCTATGCTAATCCATAGCACAATGCCCTCTGCAATTATTGGTACTTTTTCCCCCTATTAAAGGAAAAAAGATAATTCTTGTGTGGACTATGCTTGAGACAAACAGAAAGACGAATGAGTGAGGCTGAAGGAGAATCTAGATAAATATTAAGTAACAAGATGGAGAATTTAGACAAGTGGGCATGCTCCAGTGGAAAGAGCAGTCCACTTTCAACCTAGAGGTTGGGAGTTCGAGTCATTAAGGGAAGAAACTATGAAAAGATTGTTGTGCAGTCATGGGTAGGGGAGTTTGGCATGCTGTTACCTTGTAAAGGAAAAAAGAAAGATAGAGGATGTATTTTATCTTTTTATAATTCTGATGTTTTCTTCTTTTAGAGGATGTGTTTTATGTTTAATGTTTATTGATTGCAAACGTTCCCAGATCCCTGCCTTTTGAATCCCCTCCCCCCTTTTCCTGTTGAATATAATTGATGTTTGTCTTTTATTGTCCTTGTCCGAGAAGGCTCAGGCATTGACCATCGGTATTTGTTATCTCGAAGCAAGCGGCCACTTTCAGCTGTAGTAAGTTGCAAATTGGTTGCATTTATGCTGCTTTTTCATTTTATGTTCCTAGCTTCTTGTCTACACCTAGACTTATCTTTGATGCACCCTCTTTCTGGCTATGCAGGTAGATAATCCACATCGTATAGATTCCGTTGGAGTTTCTCGATTGCGGTTAGAAAGCTCTTTTCCAACTGCAAGCCAAAGGTTCATGCCATTATCTTTGCTAGTGGACGTCCTTTTAATCTAGGATAGTGTCTTGCAGATACTTTACCTCAGTAATTTATGACTTTGTGCTTTCTTTCATTCAGTATGTTATCACATAGCCGTGGACCTCTTGCTACACCATCTTTTGCCTATTATCGCCAGCTAGGCAGTGGCCAGTCACCAGGTGGGTTAATACTGCAATTACTTGGTTCTTGACATAATTTTTGACTCAATAGTTTTTGCTCTTTTGAGTATGTCTTAGTGTTTAAGTTGTCTCCTTAATGTGTCTTGTCAGGTTCAGTTTATGGAGTCGGAAGCTTTCCGAGTTCTTTTCAGGTATAGAAATGAATGATCTGTGGTCGTTGTTACTGTTCACAGTTTTGCATGGCAAGCTTTCGGTTGTTCATTGGAATTCCCAGCTATTTCCCATTCCATTTCTATTATATAGTATATACACCTGGCACTCTTACAAACTTGTGCTTCCCGCCTTTCACAAAGATTCTATACCAGTAGAATACACAAGGATTCTCCACCCATTATTATCTCTATTATAGAGTTGACATGTCGAAAGATAGAGATAGAATCGAGACAGATCTTTTTTCTTCTATCACTCTTGTGGCATTCATCATCTTGAGCACCCGGTTTGAACTGAACCATTTTAGCCTTTTTTTAAAACTGAAACTCAGTTGCCTATCTGATCCTTGTTCTAATTGGGCCTTTCTCTATAGTTCGAATCGAATAGCGCTCCAATTTATGCTAATTGTTGTATATTGCATATTTTTCAATTTAATGGCCTGCAAACTGCACCTTATTTTAAAGATTTGTTGCTTGATTCTGCATGTGGATAGTAGTATACCTCACTGTTGGGAAAGCAAATCTTGTGTAGAATACACTTGCAATTGTGGGGGATGCATCTTCTTTATATGAAAGTATAAACAGTAGGCCATATTTAAGCCCTCCAGAAAGGAAAAAGAAAGAAATGGCTTGTAATTGGACCAACTCCAACCCTTTAACTCCATTCTGTTCAATGTCCAATGACCTAGGATTTTTTTCATATTCCTGATTAGCAAGTTCACTTTTGCAAAATGACCTGAAGTGGTTTATACTTTATACAACCTGATTGTGATGATTAGTTTCCTGGAAAAAGTTCTTAAGCTAAGGAGACTTCCTCCTTAGTCCGTATATGCTGATGATGCCTGTTGAATCTTGCCTGTGTCTAAAGAAGTTCAAAATTTCTTCATTCTATTTCGGGAAGGATGAAAAGCTCTAGCGATTGAGCTCTGTTGCTAAAGAACAAAAGTTTCTAAATATAATTGATAAAGTATACCTTTGTATACATTCTTATCAAATTATTTTAATCAAGACCTTCCAGCCTTGTTGTTTTTCTCCTTTCTAAGTTATATTTATAGACATTTCTCTTTCTTTTCAACATTAAAGGAAGATCAAAATGTTAGAGACTGACATTTTCTGAGCTTTGGCTCAGAATAGAGTTTCTGAACGTTGTTTCTGTTTGGCTTGCAGTCTCAGGAGCGTGGCCCTTATGGTGGACATAGTAGCATATATCGTAGATGTGAGTAAACTTCTTCTGGTATCTTATTGGCTTTTAGAATGCTTTTTTAAATTAGCTTGGCTGATTGCGTAGTTTTCGCTTGATTTATGCTTTGAAACAAAGGGTCTCAAGTATTGGTTTCTTTTCCTGCTTGTCTTGCTTTTTTTCCTCTTTAGTTTGGTTGGTTGGGTGGTTACATTTGAGTGTGTCCAAATGAATCCTTTCCTTACATCTGATCTGAACCCACAATGTCACATGGTGATGCCTATAAGACTATCTTGATTCACTATTTGTCAAAATCTTAATCGTATTTTTTTTTTTGGTGGTGGTGGGGTGGGGTGGGGTGGTCAGGAGTTTATTGCTCTGGTTTTCATCCGTCCTTTTGAAAATTATTTGAAGATTAAGAGTTCTCAATGGTCATCTTGGTTTTCTGTGCATGTTGTATTAGTTTCATATTACTGTACCTACAGCATTTGGTATTAGCTTCTTTTTGGACCTTTGTAACAGATTCTTTTTTGCCCAATTTTTGGTTGAGTCCCTTGTTAGTCGTTTAGTAGTTCCCTCTTAAAAACATGTTGGTTTCCAATGTCTTGGAATTCGTCAGGGTTTATTATAAATTTTATCATTGCTTCAGTTTTTTGCATTTCTATTCCAACATTAGATTAGTAGTCGACAGAAGAACTGAAATTTAACCATAAGCTGCCGTGAAGTGTCTGCAAACTGTGTTGACTAGAATTCACATTTGATCTTATTGCAGCATTTTATGTTCTACGTGATCTTATTGTTATTCTTCATTGGTTTCTACAGATTGAAGGAGCGATTTTGGGTTTTGGCAATGCTGCTGACCTGATGTTTCTAGCAAGACATGTTATACACTGACAAATTTGAAATCCAATTTGGGAGTTTTGATATGTAAAGCTAACGCATCAATGATCTCGTTAAATTATATGCAAGCTCATACTAATGTTTTCTAGTTGAGTAATGTTCAGGGTTTTTTTGCCATTTCATATGTGGCTAAGACCCTCTTTTCCACCTCCCCTCGGCCCCTTCCTGTAGTGTCTGCAAATTTTGGCCATTTGTATCTTCAGTAAGTATTGACGGAGTTTGGTTGATTGCCAAGGCTAACATAGGATCCGTTTTGCAATTCATCAATGTGGTGTAATTCTGTCATCTGTCAAAGTTTATCAAATGCCATGACTCTTCGAAACAATAAGTCTAATGGTATTAATAATTCATTCAGCTGAATTTAATTAGTTTGGATTGAGGCTCACTAAACAGCTTCTATCAATTATACTCCTATATAGTTCAACCTAATTAAAGTTACTGAACGTGGATTCACTTAGCCTTATCAAACATAGCGTCATAAAAATAGGTGATGACTGTTTATTTCAGCAGTTAGTAACGTTGATTGAGTTCTAGTCTATTGTTGCATGGCAAAACACGGAGTATTACAGGGAATGGTCACATGGGCATTGTGTAGTAAGTGAAAAATCTTGTAGCTTTGGCAAAATATTAGTGGTTCAAGCTGATAACCGTAGTCAGCACTCGAGTAATTTTGTTCGTATTCTGTCTCTTTTCATTCTTCTTAATCTTTTCTGCAATAAGATCTTTTGCTTGTGATGCTTAGTTTGATTGGTTGAATTCCTTTGCTGATTCTATGCTAATACTTCTGAATTTGTGTTGCTTCATCAATTCCCTCAAATTCCACATATCCCTGCTATCTTTTTCTTTGCTTATTTTCCGTTCTAGTTGTTTGAATCATGATCCCTAAAGGATCCCAATTATTTATGCCAAAGCAGAACTCAAAGAAGAAGATGCTGACTTGCAAACAATCATGAAAACAGAGGATGGTAATTCTTTGGTTTTCATTCATTTAGAGTACATAAATCTTCTTGACGCCTTTCAAATAAATTTGAGGATAACATCGTCAAAATAGAGCCGATATGATTTCCTCCAGAGAGAGAATGCTCTAAAGAAAAACATAAAAAAGAAGAATGGGATGCCCGGGGACAGTACTACTAACCTACAGAATAATATCATAGCGAGCACAATTATTAAAAACCAATAGAAAATTTCCTTTTCAAGTTAAAGAACACCATGAGCAATGCCCCGAGGGGTTTGTTTCTTCCAACTGGCTCACTTGGCGCTGGCAAGCTGGGTGCGGATGGCCTTGGCTGCAGAAACCATGGCTTGGAGTGCTGGCTTCACCTCGGTGTACTTGCGTGTCTTAAGACCACAGTCAGGGTTGACCCACAAGATGTTGGTGTCAAGAACAGCAAGCATCTTGTTCACTCTATCAGCGATCTCTTCAGTTGATGGTATTCTTGGAGAGTGGATGTCATAGACACCAGGGCCAATTCCAGCACCATATTTCACTCCCTCCCTGAAAACTGAGAGGAGCTTCTCATCGGAACGTGAGTTCTCAATTGTGATCACATCAGCATCCATGTCGATGATGGAGTGGATAATGTCATTGAAGTTGGAGTAGCACATGTGAGTGTGGATCTGGGTAGTGTCCTGGATATCGACATTGGTGATTCTGAAGGAGTGAACGGCCCAGTTCAAGTAGAAAGCATGCTCAGCCTTCCTAAGAGGCAACCCCTCTCTCAATGCAGCTTCATCGATTTGGATGACAGTGATGCCTGCCTTCTCCAAATCCTCCACCTCATCCTTAATGGCCAAAGCAATCTGGTAGCAGGTCTCAAATCTGGAGATGAAGATGACACACATCAACATCAACTCGTAAAAATAATTTCCGATGGGGGGTAAAGATCAAATATTAATTACCTTGGCTGGTCATTTCTGACAAATGACCAATTGAGAATGGTAACTGGTCCTGTAAGCATTCCCTTCATTGGGCGTTTGGTCATGCTCTGAGCTATACTGGACCAGAATACAGTCATTGGCTTTGGGCGACTGACATCACCATAGATGATTGGTGGCTTCACACATCGAGATCCATAAGATTGAACCCATCCATTAGCAGTGAATGCAAAACCAGAAAGTTGTTCCCCAAAGTATTCAACCATATCGTTCCTCTGCATCCATTGAATATCCAAAGTGACTAAAGATGTCAAAGACCCAGAATATGCATAAAGTAAGAAAAAAGAAGCAGCCGCCTAGCAAGCATGTGAGTCGCCTTACCTCGGGCTCTCCATGAACCAAGACATCAATGTCAAGCTCTTCCTGGAGGTCAACAACCTTCTTGATTTCCTCCTTGATGGCTTTAACATACTCTTCCTCAGAGATCCTAGAAACAAATGGTATTTATCAGAATACATGTTTGACAACATTGACAATGACAAGAGCTAGTACAAGACTCACTTCTTGGCCTTGTATTCACGACGAACTCTTCTGAGCTCCACTGTCTGAGGGAAGGACCCAATGGTGGTTGTCGGGAGAACCGGGAGGTTAAGTTTCTTTTGTTGGGCATCAAGCCTAGCACTAACATTTGTTGCACGGCGGTGGTCAGAACCTCTGAGAGCAGCAGCCTGACAAAACGAAATAGAAGCCCAAGCTGGTAAGTTAATCATACTCCCTAACAAAATGACAAAATAAACTGTAAATAGCTCATGACTTACAGCCTTTTGAACAGCTTCATTTGTCACTCTTGGGGAGGTCTTTCTGGAAGCTTGAGCAGCAGCGCCAGCGGAGAAGAATGCCTGAAAATACAACCAAAACATTTGGTCACGAATGATAGAATAATCTAGTAAGGATAAAATCACAAACTTTGATTTTTTGGCAGGCACTCTTCTCGAGACCTTTTCGGGTAGGAATGAAGTATACCTCATCCTTGTCACCAGCCAATGCCTTGGCAAGAGCATTCACTTCAACAACTTTTTGAGCAGCAAATGCCAACCATGATTTGATTTCATCATCTAGCTTGGTCTCATTGATGAGATCAACAGCAGTGTGGAGCAATGAGCAAGATGTAGAGACAACAAGCTTATCTGCATTATTAAGTTCACAGAAAAAATTATCTTCTGCAGCAAAGCACCAACAAAATAAGCCATGCAGCGTGGAGATGTGGGTTACATACCTTTTCCTACAATGCCCTCAAGTGATTTCAAGAGCTCAAGAGATGCAGCAAGATCATTAGCCCAGATGTTCCTCCCATCAACCACTCCTGCAAACAAGTACTTTCCTGAGGGGAAGCCACCCTTGATCAAATCAAGGGTCTGAGTTCCACGAACCAAGTCAAAACCAAAGGCAGTAACTCCCTTCAAAGCAGTAAGGGTTTTGAATGCGCCGGCAGGAACATCAGCAAAGTAGGTCTCGATGAGAACATCAAGGCCAGATAGAGTTGATTCCAGTTCAGCATATGCCTTGGTGAATGCTTCCAATTGGTGAGCCTCAAGATCCAACACAAGGGTAGGCTCATCAAACTGAATCCAGGAAGCACCAGCAGCCTTCAACTCGGAAATGACTTCCCTGCAATGATGTTTTTGAGTTAAAATGGGAATGTCTACAGAACTAGATGACTGAGACAAAGAAAAGAGTGTATTTCTTACTTGTAGATTGGAAGGATTTTGTCAAGAAGTGATAAAAGGGGGAAAGATTTCTCAACACCCTTAGCAGGTTTAGATAGTAACAGGTATGAGACTGGACCAATAAGTACTGGGACAGTATTTACACCAAGCTGCGCGAAGAGAAAGATCAAGATCAATCAATCATCAGTCCTATCTCTTAATTACATTTAAAACAAACCAAAGGTACATACGAACAGTGAATTTAACAAGACACTTGATAGTTGTAATAAACATATAGGGAATAATGAACCAACCCCTGCCTCTAAACAAACTGAAATGAGAAAAACTCAAAAGAATATGTATATGTATATTCTCTCTTTCTCTCCACACCACCCAATTTGTATCACAGACCACAAGGTTTCTGCTATAAGGTTCCCATAAAAGTGAACACTACATTAATAATGCTCCTGTTCAAATAACTAAGATAAATGGATATGTCTCGTGAAATCAAAACTAAGGATTAATAAAAGTCACATACCCCCTTAGCCTCTTTGTACTCGTCCACTGCCTTGTGAGAAGCATAAGAGAAGTTAACATCTGGTCCCAATTCAGGGACAATGAAGTGGCTGGATCAAATAGTGATGATCAGTATGAATTCAGAATAATAATAATAATAATAATAATAACTGTTGATTCAAATGATATTCGTGTCACTCACTAGTTGGTATCAAACCACTTGGTCATCTCCATAGCAGGGACAGAGGCATTTCCTCTGGCCATGGAGAAGTAAGTGTCGAATCCGATCTCACCACCGGTCCAGTTGTATCTAGATGGGACGGCACCGAGCATAGCAGTTGTGTCAAGCACCTGATCATAGTAAGAGAATGTGTTGCTGGGAATGTACTTAATGCCAGCATCAGCCATCTGTTTCCAAATGGATGACCTGAGATCTGCAGAGACCTTCTTCAAGTCCTCAGCACTGCTCTTTCCATCCCAGAAAGATTCGAGAGCAAATTTCAGCTCTCTCTTTGGGCCCATACGAGGATATCCAACTATGTGAGATGCCATTTTTCTGCTTCACCAAATTTAATCAGTCAGACGAGAATTCAACAGAACCCATTGATATAGTAACAACAGAACCCATTGATATAGTAAAGACATAGTAAAGATCCTATCTTTTCTTGAATATGAAATAATGTGCACAAGGAAGGTGAATTGTTGCAAAGCAGAGACTATGAAACCTTAGAAAATGTAAAAGCTAAAAGAGCAAACTAGCAAAGAATGAAAAGCTGCAAAGAAAATCCTCAACGAATTGAACGATCTAATTAAGTCGATCAGATCTATAACTCCAGATCTAAGTTGCATCAACCAAAAAATATGGATACATTAATCTAGATCTATAATTGTCCAAAGTCACCACATCACAGAGATCTAGCACTCACCCTCCTCATGCATACACATTAAACATTAGAACAAATGTGTTCATACCAATAGATATAAATATATGTGAAGTAAAACAAAGAACTGAACTTGAAATGAAATATGAACGTGAGCATGAGGCTAAAAGATAGAATTTTGGGTATACGTGCAATATGCAAATGAATTATCATACCAATAGATCTGGATCAAATGAAGAAACCAATAATATGAAAAAGAGAAGTATATTGAACGTGGGCAAAGAGAAGCAGAAAGAAGAGAGGCAGTAGAAATAGTACAAGGTAAAACAGGGAGACCCACAAAAGGCAGCAACGACAGAGCGTACCTATAGGAAGAGATAGAAGCGGAAAGAAAGATGACTGCTTCGACACAAAATTAGCAGAGGAAAAAGGGCTGACGCGAGTTTGAAGAGGGGGAGTGTATGGTGTTTATATAGCAGAAAATGGGAGATTCAGAGTTGGTGGCAATGGTAGATCTCAAAATTTAAAAATAATAAATGGAGTGCTAAAAGCGGAGTATAATATACTTGCTACTCTTTGCTAACAACAATGGAAATGAGGGGCTGATTTAATGGCAATTACAAAATCATGTGGGAGTCTATCTCCAATGCGTTTAAGTTATGCATTTATAAATGTAGCAATATTTATAAATCCTATGCAAAGAGGGTAGCCGCTGCGGTTTTCTTTTAATTTTTTATTTTGGTCCAAAATAAGTGTCCATTTATATAATTAAAAAAAATTCAATTTATTTTTTCAAAATTACCCTTATGTACGTATCCCTAAAAAGTCATTTACTCCTCACATTTGAGAAGAGAAATAAGTGCTAATATAGCTATGGTGCAACATTTAATAAAGAGTAGTTTAGTCACACTAACTATTTTCGTCTAGAATTTAGTGTTTCCTTAATGGGTGGGCCCAAAGCAAATTGATCACTTATTGTGGACCGGAAAAAGTAATAATTAGCATAAATCCTATTGTAAATACTAGCACGCAACAACAACAAACCCAGTGAAATTCATCAAGTAGGGTATGGGGAGGATAAAGTGTATACAGATCTTATCCCTACCTTGTTACGGTAGAGAAGCCGTTTCCGAAAGACTCTCGGCTCTAGAATAACTAACCAACTATTACGAATTAAATTTATAAATAACGAGTAGAGGTTTAATTGATTGCATTCAAACCTTGTATAAAGAAAGAATATACTTCTTTAGGTTCAAAAATAAGTGTGATCTATTATTTTTGTAAATTCATAAAAAAATAATTTAATAGCATTAATCATAAGGTTATATCTCTTCAAATTATCCTCTTATCTCTTGTACACCTTTTTTAATCATTTATTGGAGTAAGGGTAAACTTGAAAAAAATTGCTTTACTGGTTTCCTAAGGACCAATTTGGCTAAAACAATACTTAATATGGAACGATGGAGTAATATTTAACCGGCAAATAGAGCATTTTGAAGTTTTTGAGGGGGCAAAATGAAAATAAACTTTTCTTGCTAAAAGCAGACTTGGGTGTCGGTGTATATAACCAGCATAGGAAGTGAGGATTGAGGAAGTTATTGGGTTTACTTCATTTGAGCAAAACAATTAATGCTGCTGTGTTGCTTTCATTCTAAGGTAAGGAGATTCATTCATGTTACAAATACACTACTTCTCACTCTATATTTTACCAATGTAGCCAAAAAAATTATGATTCTTATACCTGATGCTTCAACGTTCCTGCTTTTAAGATTTATGGATAAATTAATAATGTAAACAATTGACATGTAATTCTATAAATCTCCTCCTTTCTTTCACTTTGAGGTCTATTTTGTTTAGATCATTTGATCATTTGAAATATATATTTCTTCCTTTCTAATTTTTTGGTGAAAAAAAGGGCTCTACTTTTTTCTGCTTTGTCAGCTGGATCTACTTTGGTTTCAGACCATTCAACTCACTATCAACTTGGCATATGAAAGCTTAATGAGCCGACATTAATTAAATAAACTAGAATTTGTGACAAATGTATTCTACTGTAACATTTATGATAAGAAATTTTTATTTATTTATCTTAGGTACTCGATCGGTCCTATTTCACATTTCAAAAATTATAACTTGAAAAATAACACTTTTAATTTTCAACTTTTTAAAAATATTTATATCATTTTATAAAAAATTAGAATAACCGCATAGATTTTAAATATATAAAATTTACTCTAAAAATATTAAACAAGTAGAGTTTTGTACAAAAAAATTAAATTGTTTCAATTTTAATCCTCAAAATCTTTTATCAAAAGAAAATCCTCAAAAATCCGGTAAACTCCATTCTTTTAGTCTTGTATACGGTCAAAATCATGTGTCCCCGATTTTGTAGGCTCGAGGGGTCGCGTCGAGAACGAGTTCAATATGGACCGGGCTCGAGCCCGATGGCAGAATACGAAACTCGAAGATCGAAGTGCTCGATGAACACTGGGGCCGAGTATGACCAACTTCGAGATAATACCGTTATGATTTTATAACAGAAAGAGCGAGATTCCCGCGGTGGTCCTAAGATAACGGCGTAAATTCCGGAAGGTATTTGTACTAGGCAGTTAGACAATTGTATAATAAGATTCCCTACTACAATTAGAATTGTACCTTATTTAGGATTCCCCTACTATATAAAGGGGACCCCACTCATTTGTAACGGAGAATCATTGACTGAGAAGAGAATATACATTTCCAATTTCTTGACTGAGAAGAAAATATACATTTCCGCTTTCTTGCCTACTGTTCATCCGACTCAACTTATTATTATTTTATTGTTCTTGTTCATTTACCTCGAGGTCGTCATTGTTCGAGGTCGAGGTCTGCTTATATGTTGGTTTGACTTACCTTACTCTTTAATTTAACACACTTGATTTCTTGTTTATCAGTTAGTATTGGATTAAATCACATATCTTTAACACCACAATAAATTTAATTGTTACTCGGAATTTAGGGTAAACAAGTCTGAATATAAATATAATCCTTTTCAGAAAACTCCAAAGAAAAAGTTGCACGGTGGGTGGGATTAAGAAGTTGGTGTGCTGTAGTTGGTGAAGAAATTCGAAAAACGACATGAGCACAAACCTTGGTATTTGGTATTACTTGCGTACGCCGATGTATTGTAGTTTCAATAGGTTCTACTGAATTTAATATTTTTCAAATACATCATAAGTTCATCGGAATTTTAATAAATATTAAACTCATAATTACAAAAATGTAACAAATTAATGGTGAGAATATAAAAACAACAACAACAACGATCCAGCAAAATTTCACTAATGGGGTTTGGAGAAGGTATAGTGTACGCAGACCTTATCCCTATCCCGAAGAGATAGAGAGGCTGTTTCCGGGAAAATATGAATATTAAATTCATTAAATATAAATGCAGGATCCGCATTCCACAGTGGGCTGTTAGTCATGGGCCATTTTCTCCTCATTACGGTTGGGAACTTACATATTAAAGGGAAGCAAATCTCATTTTGAATGTCCAAATTACCCTTTCAATATTTTTTAAATAATTTTTTGCAGCAGTCAAAGAAATTCAACAGAAAGTTTGTTGTGGGAGTAGGTGATCTGTCCCCACTCTCAAGAATCAAGATCCATACTAAAGAATAGCGGAGATGGGACTTTGTATATAAATTTTTATATTAGGAATCACATTGTGCTGAAGTTGTGGTTGCCACCATCCACCAAAGTCAGATATTTTTGGTAGCTACAAATAGTGGTGCCAAAATGGTTTTAAAAAAAAACAGTTAACCACCCATATTATCCATTAAAAAATGGATCGGATAATGAAGTTTTTTAAAAACGGGTCAAATATGGATAAGAACTATATTATCCATTTAGAAAATGGATAACCAATGAGTTTAACTTTTACATTTGGTCATGGATAATATGGTTACCTATATTATCCGTCAGTTAACCCGTTTTTTATCTGTATTAAATATGGAACGGCAAGATAATTTATCCGCTTTCGACCCGAACCATATTCGAACGACCCGACCGTTTGCCATTCCTAACTACAATTAAAAAAATTCACTTTGGGGTAGTTCGTTTTTAAGTATAAAAAATCAATTTCACTATAATTTTTCCGTTTCACTTACAACTTGTTTGGATGGTTGTTACATATCGTTTCATAATGTATCGTATCGTATTGTATTGTATTGTACTGTATCGTTTGATGAATACAATGTTTGGATGGATTGTGTCGTTTTGGCGTCGTTTCATGGTATCACGCATCTGTGATATGATGAATAAACTTGCAATATTATAAAGAAAAATTATGATACGGTATATAAAAAGTTAGGGTAAATGATAAAATAAAATTATTTAATAATAATGAAGGGTGAGATTGAGAGAAAAACACAAGGAAACGACGCGACCAAACCAAATCGGTCGTTACATAAAGTGGCACATTTCATCGTTACGTAACGACGGATTTAACGATACGATACAATAAAATTTAAGTAACAATCAAAACAAACATTGTTTTTAAAGTAACAATACGATACGATACGATAGGTAACAACCATCCAAACAAGCTGTTATAGATCATTTGGTTTCAATATAAAATTTTGCAAGACTAGCCTAACTTTAGACCGTTATGTTTGATTACTCATATGGTCAGATTGCAAGTCAAGTTTGCAGCTGCATAACCCGAAACAACAACAGTAACAACAACCCAATAAAATTTTATAAGTGGAGTCTGGGAAGAATAGAGTGTACCCAGACCTTACCCCTATCCCGAGGGGGTAGAAAAACTGTTTCCGGTAGACCCTCGGCTGAGAAAAGACGAAAAGAGAGACAAAATAGTATCAAATGAAAGCTCTCCGATAATAACATAAGTTATTGATCAATCTGCTTATTTTTCTAATGATTTTACCAATTTATACCTCGATCCAAAGAGTATTCATATCCTACAGAAAAACAATCAGTTCATTCGGCACAACACTCAAACATGCATCATATTAATTAATAAGCGGTGTTTTTATTGTAAATCATTATAAAATTAACGATACAAATATGCTACGTTAAGTTGCGGACGGACTTAAGTGCTTAAAGTTGATTAAATGTTACATAATTTTTAAAAACTGGATACATTTTAAATAGGGGTGCTGAAACTGGATACATTTTAAATAGGGGTGCTGAAAGTGGATATCTAATGCCAGCTTTATAGCTGGGTGGGCCTATACAATATAGGCCCAACTCTAGTAAGTGGCCCATGCTAGCACTACATCCAAGTTAGGGCGAAACGACATCGTTCGCATTTGGCCGGGAATTGATCTTTTACACATTCTGCTGCAATTGCCTCTCTTTAGTTTGCTCATTCACTGACAGCCTTCCCAAGCACCCCAAGGAAAATTGGTCGCGAATCAGGTCAAATTTCTTCACTTTTCTTTGTTTCCGAATCTCGAAAGTCACAAAAAATCTGATGAATTTCCTTGGAAAATATTGTTGTTGAAGATTTCTAGAGTTGGATTTGCGAACCATTGTAAACCCTCAACTTTAAATTAAATTGAAGAAGCAGCTTGTAAGCATCTCTTTGGTAAAAAATGTACCTAAGGCCTGTGTTATTTCGTGCTTATTTTTCTTCGAAGAAGTAATTTTGCATACAACTTGACTGACTATATGCATGCCCATTGTGCATAGAGCATTTCTCGTTTTTTTTTTTTGCGGAAGTATTTACTATGAAATGCTTGGCTTTATACTACTTTACCCCTCACCTGAGCCTTTCTTTGCCTCTGATAATAGCTACTTACTTCATGATCTTTCTATTTGCTCTTTATTTTATGCTATTTTAAATTTTTTGAGTTTCTTGACAGTGAAATTCTGCATACTACTTTATTTAGTGGTTTCAATCAGACTTATATAGTTGGTCTAGCTTTTTATTCCATAATGTTTTAACTTCTTTTTTATTGATTTTATAAAGATGTGGATGGTTTCTTTCTCTGAACTTTGTGAATTGAATGTTCCCCTTTTCGTCATTAACAAGATAACTTGTAAAAACTCTGTAGTTTCGCTTGGGGATTGTTTAATATGTAATTGGAAAATTAAACTTCAAAAATTACAGTGCTTTCCATTTTTGTCTAGCATAAGGATTATAAAAATTTGTCGCCTAATATCTACTCTCAGGCTCCTGTTTTCCACATTCTCTTATAGTAGTTTGGCTCAAATTTGAAGATGTTGTGGGTTGACAAGTACCGCCCCAAAACCCTAGACAAAGTTATTGTCCACGATGATGTTGCTCAAAATCTTCAAAAGCTGGTAAAACTTCTTTTATTTGTAGTATACACCTTTGTGAATTCTCGAATTATTCACTGTTTGTGACCCTTTTCTTTATGCCTACTATTAGGTGTCAGCGGGAGATTGTCCTCATCTTCTCTTTTTATGGCCCTTCCGGGTCAGGGAAGAAAACTCTGATTATGGCACTTCTGAGGCAGATTTTTGGTCCAAGTGCCGATAAGGTAACTCCGTCTCTTTTCAATTGATTTCTTTTTATGTGTTTTCTTCGCTAAAATATGAAATTTGCTGCTTAATTGATCTCTAAAGTAATATGGTTTCCATTGGTTGGACAACTGATGCAGGTTAAGGTTGAGAACAAGATTTGGAAAGTTGATGTAAGCTTTTCCTTGAATTTCTTTTTTCAGGGTGCAAGTATGTTAATGTGAATTCGGTGTATAGCTGTATTATTCTTAGTTCTGTACATATATCAAAATATTTAGATCAGTAGGTTCCTATTTTTTTCTGGGCAAGGGGCTGTTCAAGTCAACAATATAAGGAAAAACATTAAGAAGAAATCTTGGTACTTGAAGTGTCTAGAGAATATTTCAATGCCTTTTTTTATTTAAAAGTAAGACATGGAAAAAACAACTGAATAATCCAACAATTGACTAAGTTACTTAATAATTACAACTCAATCTGGTGCCTTAACGAATAGTCAGAAAATTTGTCTCATGCATTACAAACACTACCGTAATCAGAGCATAACCATAATACAAACTAAAGTAGAAAAATGAAGCCCATCGTCCTCCCAATCCAACTTGGCAAACATCTTGCAAACTTCCAACCCTGGTTGAAATCTGGTCTTCGAGGTGTTTGCTTTTGAGGGATATAAAGTTGGAAGATCTATTCCATCCAATAATTGTTCTTCATATTGCATAAACATGAACCCTCAGGTGTTGGCCTGGTGGCAATTGACTTGAGCCTTGGGGTTTGCTCCGTTTCAAGGTCTCAAGTTCGAAACCCACTGGGTGCAAACAATTTCTGAGGGCCATCGGACTGGGTAAAAGTGACAACAACCAGTGACTTCCATGGTTAGGGATCAATTGCAACTGATATCCTTCTTTCTTTCTATATTCTTTAATTCTTTTAGAAGTTTTAGTTTTACTTTACCCATGTGTGTGTATTTTTTCTCTTTGTTTTAGTAACATAGTATGTCGATTTCAAGTTTAAAGAATATAAAGGTTAGGCAACATGTGAATGCACAAGTTCCATAAATTTTAACTTCAGGAGAAGTATTGCTAGTTAAATTGAAATAAACAGAAGTGTCAAAATCATGATAATCCTTTTGATTCCTCATAATGCTTTTTCCATTTAAAGAGGCAGAAAATTTAGGCAACCACAAAATAAAATGAAATGTGTTACTATCAGTTACGAAAGCTACTTTGATCCAGTTGATGTCTGGAACTGATTAATTCAAGTATTTA